AAATGACAACAGTCACGCGAATTATTGAAATCAACATGTCAGAGAACGAGTAATGTTGCTGGGCTGTTGTGTTGTGTTGTGTGGCAGATAGTTTCTTTTTTATTGTTGTAAACTTGTGTCACTGAAATCGACAACAAAACAGTCATGGGAGTGTTGTGTAGCAGAAAGATTATCTGAAAATGAAATGCCACTACATATAAACATACAAAACTCACTTCGGCGATTTCATCTGGCCGAGTTCAACTATTTTTATCTGGCCGAGTTAGAGTTTGACTGTATTCCTGGGCACACAAAGGTGGAGAGTCAATTCGTCCCAAATCGCATTCGTCCCAAATTGATTTGGCATATAAATTTATTCGTCCTAAATCTGAGTGGTCTGATATCTTTGCAATATGTTATTCCATCAATCATCAAATCTAGTTACTCATATTTTACGATTACTAGTATAGTAAAATTAAGTGTACATACATTACAGTATACAAGTAGGTATGTTGGACCTCTGTTGTTATATTTCCCGGTATATATAACAGACATGTCTGTAACAAGTAAGCGGTTGGCCGAACCCACCATAGAAATCGATCAGACCTATCTTACATTTGTCTGTTGAAATTGGCAACTCTTTGCACATCAACAATTAGTCTGACGCTGGTATAGGAAATTATCTGCCCAAAACTACTTCTTCCTGATGAGTGAACTCCAGCATTATATTGCGCATGGCAACACAAGAACCTGGTATACAAATACATGTTATATATGGAAATTTATAAACCTGGATGACCTTTGTGTTGGATTTAAACTTCCAATCCACTAAAAATTGCATCATTTGCTGTAGAACCTTTGGCCATACCCAGCCATGTGTCTCTGTTTTTTTGACAGAATTATTGCTATATGAAATTAATCACATCAAATTGATTTGAAATACATAAAATCATTAGAAATATATTTTGATTAAAAGTTACATATGCATATTATATAATAATCATAATAAAACTATTAGTTTTCTTTCCCCTCTCACTACCTTGAAGTTGCATTCCCACTTTTTATGATCAGCAGAAAACATTTGTTTTAATAATCCAAAAATGGCAGTCATTTTGGTTATGCTTTGAATATATTTTTTCAAACATTGTGCATATATTTTACTCATTCAACACCTTTAACTAATTATCTTAGAATGTGTATTCTCATATTCATAATATTTTTTTTATCAGGTTTGAGAGAGCTATTGCTGATCCAGTGGTATTACAAAGCACTCTTGGATTAACCACCAGTCAAGGGTATGTATTATTCTGTGATCTCTTCCGAGAAAGTATCTTGTGCATCTGTAAATTCAAGTAAATTTCATGAAAACCTTTACATTATCTACATATACATAAAGTCAAATCAATTTATTAAAACGTAACTGCCTTCATGGTATATTGGTACTTTGTACATCCATCCATCTGTATCATCTCGTAACTACTTAAGGAAGGGGAAAAACAAGAAAAAAAAAATTTTTCAAAAAATTTTAGAATACTAATATTAATAATTATATTGTATACTTTGAAGTTTCTAAATCGTTGAACAAAATTTACTGTGCATATGATGCTTTTGGTGCATAATTTTGTTTTTCTTTCATGTACACAGCTATGGGTAAACATGTCCTCCATACATTTGCATATCAGCTTGAGTGACGGACTAAAAACAAAAGATTTAATTTGCATACTGATTTGTTGACATCCAACTTTATTAGTCCCTGTTCTGATGCAGTCAGAAAACGGGGACTTATATTTTGACCTCCGTGTTTCCGTCCGTGCATGCATCTGTCCGTGCGTCCGGACCTGTATCTTAGAAATGCCGAGACCAATCACAATCAAACTTTACACATACATCATACATGATATTATACATATGCACGTCAACTTGTTTCACGATCTGATTCAAAATGGCCGAATGGCAGCCATTTTTGTGCTAAAAATCATCAAAATCAAGCATTTTTCAGCTGTTTACAGATGGATTTTGTTCAAAATTGGTATATACGTTACACATTATAGGACCTTCATGCACATAATTTTGTTTTTCAGATAAGATTCAAAATGGCTGACTGGCGGCCATTTTGTTTTAATGAATGTGGTTCGAGTGCCATATCTCTGACTTGCTTTGACTGATTATGTTCAAATTTTAAATATTCATTATAGATCATGTCATAGATATACAGATATATTGGTTTGACGATCCTATTAAAAATGGCCGTTTACAGATGGCTTTTGTTCAAACCTTGTATATATACGTTGGACATTATAGGACCTTGATGCACATCATTTTGTTTTGAGGTATGTATGGGGGTCTAAAAACTAACTCTGCGACGCGATTGTGCGACTCGCCGAATGTCGATTATTGCACTCTGCGACAGGATCGCAGTGTCACTTTGTGAAAAGCATGATTCCCATTGGTTGGTTGGTTGGTCGAAAAGCGTGAATCTCAATGGTCGATCGATGTAAGGGTACACAGCATGCCTTATAGAAATGTTCAGTTTTATAGTCGTTCTGAGAATTATTCGGACAGTCAGTTAGCAATATATGTTGGAACTTTGTAAAACACTTGGGTCTTTTTCAATCTAGACTTGATGGCGCCGTTGTATTGGCACGCCCACAATTGGAATCATTCCATTATCTTGCAAGACGCGGGTAAAACGCTGTTTTCAAAACGACACGTGTTTGTTACCATATATTAACAGGTTATATATTGTATATGCATTCAAAGTGTTATTTTAAATTGTTATAACCATCTGAGTCCACCTGACATAGCGTAATTTACAAAACAACTCCTGAGTGTTGAGTAACCCCAGGTATTAATGAACTCGTCGTTGGCGGGAAGGCTCAAAGTAAAGTTTCGCGACAGTTTTGGGCCAAACTAAAAGTTGTTTTTACATTACTGGTGCATTATGTATCAAATTCAGATTTTAAACCGAGGTGGGAGAGTACGTCAGGGATACACAGACGGAAAACTTGATTATAATGGTTTGATGGACTTTGTCAAATGAAGTGCCTTCCTTGATCAAATCACTTTTTCAACTGCAGTTTGAAAATGACGGGGTATAACGACCGTTATTATATTTAGTCCATTTTTGTAACAGGTACAACTGACTAAAATGAGCGAGGGGTTGACATTTTTCGACAGATTTAAGCAACAGCCAACTTGTGATTTTCAAAATTACTGAAAATAATTACAATATAATTATAAAAAATAAAGAATGATTGCTGTAAACGCACGCTAGATTATACTTACAATTCACCAAGCCGACAACCCCTATGAAATAATAATCCCAAACCACGCGCCCGTAACTCAAGTGGCGCCGACAAGTCTAGATTGGGCAAAGACCAAAGTGTTTTGCAAAGTTGCAAGTCATTTTGCTAACTGACTGTCCGAATAATTCTCAGAACGACTGTAAATGGTTATTTCGCCGACTGCTCGTGAACTACGGTAAACCGATTAAGTATTTACCGACTACATGCCGCACGGTTCGGTAATCAGCAAGTATTTAACATTGAATTATTAACATGTATAACATCCCCCGAACGGGATGAGGAGTTACAAAACACATGCATGTCGGTGTTGGGTGCTTTATTAACATCAGGGAGCTGGTAACATTAACGCCATCTTGAAGTTGTAAGGCTTCGTCCGCAACTATACTCATTAGCATAGGCTAGGCGGCAGCTTCAAAGCGAGTAGAGTGCGAAGTACGTTTCACACGATGTTACTTCCTTTTTTAGCTCCGCTGTCGACTTTGTCGAGTGGAGCTTATCATATGAGTGATTGTCCTCCGTCGTCGTCCGTGTCAATGTTTTACTTTTTAGGGGCCCAAGCCTGTAGGGCGTGGCCCCTATTCTTATTGTTCGGTTTTTTCTTCTTTCTTCTTTCTTTCTTCTTTCTTCTTTCTTCCGTAACTTTTTTCGTCAAGCCGTTTGAGAAAACCGCTGAACGGAATGGTCTGATAATGCTCTATACTGATAGTCCCTAATGTGAACTGGTGCAACATGCTTTCAGAATTTTGATTGGCCAATTAGTTTGGCAGCCATATTGGATTGAAATAAAACCGGAAGTGGCTGTTTGACCACTTTCTGAGGGTCTAGGCGTCTAGATTTTTTTTGGTACATGTATATAGTACAACTCATGTGTAATAAATATCAGAAATAAAAACTTTAGCGGTCATGTGACTTTTCCCGCCATTTTGTTTTTCCTAAAAACGGCAAAAAACACTTTAAAATCTTCTTCTTCAGAACCGCCAAGTAAAATGTTCTCATATTCAGTACTTAGCTTCTACATATGGAGCAGATTTAGATTTGAGAAATTCATTATGATTGGTCACGTGGTTTGGCCGCCATTTTGGATTTCTTCTAAACAGGAAGTAGTTTTTTTACTCTGGCAACACTTGAGGGATTATTTTCTATTTTGCTTCATGGCATCTGTATATCAAACTCTTTCAGAAACATAAAAAAGATTTCAGATCAGTCACATGGTTTGGCCGCCATTTTGAATTTTAAGCAAAATTGACCAAAAGTTTGGGCATTTGTTTCTCAGAGGGGATTCAACCAATCTACTGGATGTTTTTATATTTACCATGCCTGGCCTTAGCTCCATATGAG